GTGCACTTATGGACACCCTTATGTTCGAACATGGTGTTTGTGATGGACAAACTATGACTAGCAAAGAAGTCCAACAACAGAACACCACTCGGATTCAGATCAGAGAGGCCATTCCTCCCAATCATGCCCCTCCAGGTCACACTGTCATTACCCACATGGGCATTGAAGTCCCCCAGCAGAATAAAGGAGTCTCCAGCTGGCGCACCTTCCAGCACCCCTGCCAAGGACTCCAAGAAGGCCAGATACTCCTAACTGCAGTTCGGCGCATAGACACAAACAACACTTAGAGCCCGTCCCCCCACCCCAAGGCGAAGGGGAGCCACCCTCTCATCTACTGGGGGAAACTCCAACACACAGGCACCAAGTCGGGGGGGGGGGGGGGGTACAAGTAGACACACACCAGCTCAACACCTCTCACCATGTGCAACTCCAGTGTGGAATAAGGTCCAGCCCCTCTCAAGAAGATTGGTTCCAGAGCCCATGCTGTGTGTCGAGGTGAGCCCAACTATATCTAGTTGGTACCTCTCAACCTTGCTCACAAGCTCAGGCTCCTTCCCTGCCAGAGAGGTTACATTCCATGTCCCAAGAGCCAGCTTTGGTAAGCCAGGGTCAGAGCACCAAGGTCGCTGCCTTTGGCCACTGCCCATGGCATCATGCACCTGAATTCTATGGCCCTTCTTGCAGGTGGTGGGTCCACAGGCAGGCAAACCCATGTTGCTCCTTCAGACTGAGCCTGACCGGGCCCCATGGGTAGAGACCCGGTCCCCAGGCACTTGCCGACGAGCCCCTCCCCCAGGCTGGATCTAAAGTGCGGCCCCGGTATCTCACTTCCGGGCAAGGGACACTGAGTTCCTTGTTTTGTTTTGTCTATAAAAATTTTCTGAATTGCTCTTTGTCTGGCCTGTCACCTAGGACCAATCTGCCTTGGTAGACCCTACCAGGGGCAATTATAATTGTCCCCGACAGCATAGCTCCTAGGATCATTCAATATATACAAAGTACAAATATTTTCAAATATTTTATTTTATTATTAAATTTTTATTTATTTATTTTCTGTCTTCAAGGTAATAGTGGGGCGGCACCCTAGCGTCCCCTGTTGACCAGCCGCCACTGTTAAAAACACTTTAACCGTACTGTAAACTGAACTGGACCCTTCCTCTCTCTTGTCATCCTGGGTTCTGGCGCCTTGTTGTTTATCTGGCTTTTACAGGCTGTCACTCCTTTGGTTAATGCAGCTTAAAACATAATGGATTTAATAAAAGAACTGAACGGAATTATAAGAGAATAATTGCTCCAACATATCTCTCTTCATCCTCCTTCACCACTGAGATGTACGCTCATTTGGAACTGGTCCCTCTGGTGGGAGGACAGCTTTTCCTTACAGGAAAAATAAAAACTCCGTTGGTTGTTGTGTAACTGAAGTAAACAAAAGCAAACATTATTAAGAACGTTGATTTACCTGCTGTAAATCGTCTCGATGTCTGGCTACTGGTTATCATAGAGTAGAAAGCCCGACATAATCCTCATCAGTTCTGGTCCACTCAGTGACCGGTGTCGAGCTGTTAGAGGATGCGGTCCCGATAGGCATCAAATCTGTGGACTTGTATCCAAAATCCAGCTCTAACTTGTTGTTACGTTGTTTTTAGCTGGGCTTTCAGCCCAGAGGAAAGTCCTTCCTGAGAGCAGTCCCAGGCAGCGTGCATGCACGTTAGGTGAATGTATAAAATTTCACATCGCCAACCAATGACCTGGCATGGCAACTACAGCGGATTTGGCGGGTTTGCTGCAGATACATGTAAACATAAAATGTGGCCCGTGTCAACGCAGATGCTTTTCCCTCGAATCAACATCTGAAAAATCAACATCTGTAAAAATAACCTACGTGTCCCCCTGTGTTTGTGTAAATGGGGTCAAAGTTTAGGTTTTGGAAATGGAATAAACTGTATTCCATACTCTAAAGCAGGAGGACACAATTTGTGAGAGCCAGCAGCTCAGGGGCTGGACATCCAGCAATTAAAGTCATTCTGTAAATGAATCAAATGTTACAATTGTAGCAGTATAGAAATATAACTGGATAGAGAAACGTCACTTCCAGTTAAATGAGGTGGGCGGAGAATAAAAGGAGGCGGCAAAGCTCATTCTGGCACTTGGTTTGCTCTTCACGCTCCCACTACGTGGCTCGCAACCCGTGTGGGGTTTGGTTGCGGCTGAGCGGCAGATCGTGTTATGAGTGCTGTTCTGGCCTTCGTGGGGTGAACGCCAAGCTTGCTGCTTTCCTCCTCCTCCCATGTGTGCGCCAGCAGGTCTTTTACTGAGTTGGGACCACTGCTCTTTTGTCTCTACAGAGACCACACCTGTTTTGTCTCTACGGGGAATACAACTGTTCGGTTTCTCTGGATTACTGCTCTCCAGACGATGTGGCTGCTTCACTGAATTTTTGATGTTGGGGCACTCACATCAGAGGCGTGGTTAATTAGCCACGCACCTGGTTCTGAATAACCTTTAAAATGAGTATCTGATTTGTTAAGTTTTTGAGTTTCCTTATTTTGGTTTGTTTACAGCCCATTTAATGTTTTGTGAATCATTATGGTATATAATTTAGATATTTGTTGGGCTGACATTTATTTAATGTTGGTAGTTGGTTGATGTCTTTCACTTAATTATTATATTTGTAATTTTGTTTATTTTCATTTTCTTTTTGATTTTACTTAGTGTGGTGTTTGACCTTTTATTAATTTTGTTTCTCCTGGGGTCAGGTGCTGCAGGTTTGGTGGTCTTCTTCCGGTAACCTCAGCTCCTAGGTTTTGTATTTGTTTGTTCCGTTCTTGTTTTTTTAATAGGAGTTAAAAAAGTATTTAAAGTATATAAAGAAAAAGTATTTATAAATAAAAATGGAAATTAATAAATTGTTTTCTAAATCTGGAAGCCTGTCTCAGAAGTATTTTTGTAAGATGTCTGAAGTGGTGTGCCTAATATTAATATTAATGACTCCACTCGGTACCACCACACAATGATCTGTTTACCTTTTGAAATTTGCTTATTTTGTTGCATTGACTCATGAACGCAATAAACAAAACCCAAACCCACAATGGCCTAATAAATAAATAAGTAAATAAATAAATAAATAAATAAATATATTCTTTAACTTTTATTTCTCAGAGGTGCTGAGTTAAAATTTAGCGGTGTTTGAGCACCCCCCAAAAAAGAGTCTGAACTCCCTCTGACATGGAGCCATGACAAAAATACACCGTTCAACCCCCACTCACACACGCGCGCACACGCACACCTTCTCCATTTAGAACGTTAAACGCGTGAGCTGATCACGTGCCTCGGCTCATTCAGCCAATCAGAACACTGCCAGTCCTGACTCCGCCCCCAGCTGCAGCTCGTGCTGAGGATGGATCCAGAACAGACCAGGTTCTAACCGGAAGTTGGAAATGTCCCGGAAAAGAGCTGCAGAGCTGGTCCCGTTAAATCCTTCGGGTCCAGAGAGGAAGCGGGTCTGCTGGGGAGTTCTGACCAACCAAGGTGGGTCCAAAGTTCTGACCAGGTGGGTTGAAAACATTCAGAACCAGCAGGGCTCACTGACAGACACAAAGTGTCATTTAAACCTTATTAACCAAAATGAAGAATAAATACAGAAATCAGAACAACATGTAACAATTAATTTAAGGTAAATATGTAATTTATTTAGCACAGTTTCTCCAGGTTAGTCTCACTGAGCCCCAAACACTCATTTACAAGAGACCGGATTTCAAGAAAGAACCCAGAGGAGCTACAGACAAAACAGACGTCCAATAAAATGACAAGTGAATAAAAGAAATGAAATAAAAACTAAACCAAAGCAGCTCCATGATAAAACGATTTAAAATACTGAAAACTGGAACATGTCTGATATCTGGGATAAAGCTAGAGGCCAGACTGACACGTCCAGAGGAGGGGCAGTGGTTTGGACGCGTCCAGAGGAGGGGCGGTGGTTTGGACGCGTCCAGAGGACGGACGGTGGTTTGGACGCGTCCAGAGGAGGGGCAGGGGTTTGGACGCGTCCAGAGGAGGGGCAGTGGTTTGGACGCGTCCAGAGGACGGACAGTGGTTTGGACGCGTCCAGAGGAGGGACAGGGGTTTGGACGCGTCCAGAGGACGAACAGTGGTTTGGACGCGTCCAGAGGAGGGGCAGTGGTTTGGACGCGTCCAGAGGAGGGGCAGTGGTTTGGACGCGTCCAGAGGAGGGGCAGTGGTTTGGACGCGTCCAGAGGAGGGGCAGTGGTTTGGACGCGTCCAGAGGAGGGGCAGTGGTTTGGACGCGTCCAGAGGAGGGGCAGTGGTTTGGACGCGTCTAGAGGAGGGACAGGGGTTTGGACGCGTCCAGAGGAGGGACAGGGGTTTGGACGCGTCCAGAGGAGGGACAGTGGTTTGGACGCGTCCAGAGGAGGGACAGGGGTTTGGACGCGTCCAGAGGACGGACAGTGGTTTGGACGCGTCCAGAGGAGGGGCAGTGGTTTGGACGCGTCCAGAGGACGAACAGGGGTTTGGACGCGTCCAGAGGACGGACAGTGGTTTGGACACGTCCAGAGGAGGGGCAGTGGTTTGGACGCGTCCAGAGGAGGGGCAGTGGTTTGGACGCGTCCAGAGGACGGACAGTGGTTTGGACACGTCCAGAGGAGGGACAGTGGGTATATTGGTCGAAGGATGTTAGAAATGCAGCTGCAGGAAAAAGACAAAAAAAGAGAAATATGATAGAGGACATGGAGGTAGTTGGAGTGAGGACAGAGGACAGAATGAGATGGAGGAGGATGACCTGCTCTGGGGACTGCTGAAGAGTCAAAAGCCAAAAGAAGAAGAAAACAAGAAATGTTAGGTCATATTTATGCAGAAACAGAAAATTCTAAAGGCTTCACAATTTTTGACCCGTACATCTAGACCAGAGAGACCTCAGCGGGTGTAGAGACCTCAGGGGCTGCAGCAGGTGTTGACCTCTCTCCTAGAGGCATGGAGTGCTCATGAGGTGTGGAACCCTCTCATGGAGACGTGGGACCCTCGAGGTGTGGAACCCTCTCATGGAGATGTGGGACCCTCGAGGTGTGGAACCCTCTCATGGAGATGTGGGACCCTCGAGGTGTGGAACCCTCTCATGGAGATGTGGGACCCTCGAGGTGTGGAACCTTCTCATGGAGACGTGGTACCCTCTTGAGGTGTGGAACCCTCTGCAGATGTGTGACCCTCATGAGGCGAGGAACACAGAGGGTGTGGAACAATCAGGATCTGCAGGAGACTCAGAACTCACAGGAGACTCATGACCTGCAGGAGACTCGGGGATCTCTAGTAGAGAATTGGAGAACACATGAGACTCTGGAACTACAGGTGACTCAGAACCTTCTGAATTCAAGGAGTAATTAGAGACGTCCTTCTGGGGGATGAGTGAGGGGTGTCTTCATGGACCCTCTTGGTACTACAGGAGCAAGAGGCATACTCCTGGACCCTCTCAGGAGCAAAGTGAGAGGCGTCCTCCAGGACTCCCTCAACAACACAAGGGGCAGGCGGTTCTGTGCTGGTACCGGAGCGTTGCAGCTGGATGGTTCTTTGTACTGGGTTCTGTGCTGGTACCGGAGAGTTGCAGCTGGATGGTTCTTTGTACTGTTGTTTAAGAGTCATTACTTTGATTAGTATTTCATAGTACTCTGGGAATTGAATGAGTACAGGCAGTGGCGGCTCCTTATATGGGCGACATGGGCGTCCTCCAGCAGGGGGCGGCATATCACGGCATAACACCACCACCTATTAATCTATTCCGCTTAAATGCAAATTATGGAAGACTGAAAGGAACAGGTCAAAGCCATCGGGTGTGCAGTTTAGGAAAAAGAGAAAAGAAGAAGAGGAGAAAGAGCAAAAGATAAAGGTAAGAAGAGCTGAGTGTCGCTGTCATTTCTTGTGTGAAATGTGTAGGCAGTAGCTTGCTAATGCTAACTGGTTAGCTGCTTAGGACGACATATGTTAACAGCGGAAAATATTACCATCTTGAAGATTGAATTCTTAAACTAAACAAACAACATGGAAAAGTAATAATGGGCCACTATACTTTCTAAAGGCAATGATTTTGTGATGTACTCTGGATGACTGGAACTCGAAGACTGACGGCCCATTGGAGGCGCTAATGTTTCAGCGCGGCCGCCATCTAAGATGGATCCCTCTTTGTCCCAGTTTGTACTGAGTGATGGACCGAGGAAGACAGATGTTTAAATTTATACTGTCTCGTGCAGTCGATCCTGAGCGTTCTGTGCACACCAACAATAAGTTCTCCTACTATGAATTTCATAAATTGGAAATATATGTAGACTTGGTTAAAAAAAAGGCTAAGTTGTTTTTGTCATTTGCTGTCAGTTTAACTCTTAGAATTGCAGTTACCATTCCTGTCACAGTGGCTGGAGCAGAAAGAAGCTTTTCAAAGTTGAAAATGATAAAAACATATCTGAGGTCAACTAAGGTCGTTTTCACACCTGATAGTCCGGTAGACTTGGTTCGGTTCGGGACCAATATTCATGAGCTTTTGTTACATTTGAGCTGGTGCGTTTGCATTCACACTGCGCTGTGCAGTCGAGTCAACCTGTTGAACCAACCTGTTGAACCAACTTGTTGAACCAACTTGTTGAACCAACTTGTTGAACCAACCTGTTGAACCAACCTGTTGAACCAACCTGTTGAACCAACCTGTTGAACCAACTTGTTGAACCAACCTGTTGAACCAACTTGTTGAACCAACTTGTTGAACCAGCCTGTTGAACCAAGCTGTTGAACCAACTTGTTGAACCAACCTGTTGAACCAACCTGTTGAACCAACTTGTTGAACCAGCCTGTTGAACCAACCTGTTGAACCAACTTGTTGAACCAACTTGTTGAACCAACCTGTTGAACCAACCTGTTGAACCAACCTGTTGAACCAACTTGTTGAACCAGCCTGTTGAACCAACCTGTTGAACCAACCTGTTGAACCAACCTGTTGAACCAACCTGTTGAACCAACTTGTTGAACCAACCTGTTGAACCAACTTGTTGAACCAACCTGTTGAACCAACCTGTTGAACCAACTTATTGAACCAGCCTGTTGAACCAACCTGTTGAACCAACCTGTCGAGTCAACCTGTTGAACCAACCTGTCGAGTCAACCTGTTGAACCAACCTGTTGAACCAACCTGTTGAACCAACCTGTTGAACCAGCCTGTTGAACCAACTTGTTGAACCAACCTGTTGAACCAACCTGTTGAACCAACCTGTTGAACCAACCTGTTGAACCAACTTGTTGAACCAACCTGTTGAACCAACCTGTTGAAGCAACCTGTTGAACCAACCTGTTGAACCAACCTGTTGAACCAACCTGTTGAAGCAACCTGTTGAACCAACTTGTTGAACCAACTTGTTGAACCAACCTGTTGAACCAACCTGTTGAACCAACCTGTTGAACCAACCTGTTGAACCAACCTGTTCCCCCGCTCGCCTGTGGGGGCACTGCACCAAGAACTACTGAAAGAAACGACACAAAAACCTCTGAAGACACGTCTTCTTCTTCTTCTTCTTCTTCTTCTGTAAATAAAAATAAAAATGAAGTGGCATCAAGTTTTAGGAGTTATATTTTGTCATTTTTCAACAATGGACTCAGCATGAGCAGAAGATGAGACAGAAGACCATGGAGAATATTGTTCTTCACACAAGTCAGCTGACGGCTCCATATAAGAGAAATGTGTGTTTGTTTGTCCTGTGGAGCGGGACCGGTCTGATTACATTCACACTGTACTGGAACCGCGCTGGAGTTCTCTTCTACCGGACCCAGACCTAGGTTTTAGCCGGGCCAGAGTTCACCTTTTTCTTCCGTGACAGAGTTCGATGGTGCGTTCACACCTCCCTAAACGAACCGGACTTTCTAGGAAAACGAGCTAGAGTTGGATTAAAGTGGACTAAACAGGGCTGCTGTGAATGCAGCCTCAGACCCAGGAACGCCTCAGTGGTCTGGCAGTCATCAGGATCAACCACGCAGTTGCTGAGCAGATTTCACATGATGAGATTATTGATGACTTTGCATCAAGGAAGGCAAGGAGGATCAACATTTAGGCGACAGCATTTCTAATTGTTTTTTTTCTTCTTTCTTTTAGTCCATATGCTGTAATTATATCTTGTTACTTTATATTTTATGTTGTGTTCTTCTTGTTAAGCACTTTGGTAACAGCTTCTGTTTAAAATGTGCTATACAAATAAACTTGACTTGACTTGTCAGTTGATGTGCATGTTATTCTCTTGTTGTTCAAAGTACATACAACTAGTACAAATAGGTTTGGTACAAGGTTCATTTGTACAGTTTATTTTGTATTTCTTGTTTGGAAAATAAATTAAAAGAAGTGTTGTTGTGCTGGTGCAGTGACCTTCTGATACAAACTGCCTGTCATGCACCACGCAGCAGGCAGGGGGCACAATTTAGCAGCAACCCGACGGCCTGCGCAACGGGGGGGGGGGGGGGGGGGGGGGGGGGGGTGTGCCGTTGGGGTTGCTCGCCCAGGGCGCCAAATAGGCTAGGACCACCACTGAGTACAGGTTCAGATACTAATCTTTGTAGTGAATCGTATTGACAGTCTGGGTTGAGAGCAGCAGATGTTTGTCAAGTTGTGAGTTTAAGGAGATGAGGTCGGTGTGAGACTTATCTGAGGAGTTAGTCCAATCGAGAAACGTCAGCTGACTTGTCTGTTCCTCTGGTTGACCCACATTCACTTGTTCCGTCAACGAGCGGGTAGGGCTGGGTATCGTTCAAACCATTTTGGTATCGGTACCAGTACCTTCACTTCAATATTGGTTCTTGAACGGCATTCGTTTCTATACCAATTTTATAAATAACATCAATTGTAACAAAAAGAAAATTACGTTACACATTACAGTACAAATTCCATTCCAAGCCAAAATAAACAAATAATTTCCAGTTCAAAAGACCAGTTTCAAACCAGTGACACGTCGGTGTCTAATGCTCACTGCTGCACACTGAGGACCTTTTCACCGAACAGTTTGTCTTCAGGAACATCAACATGGGGGAGTGGTGGCGCAGAGGTTAGAGAAGGTGGGCCTGTGATCAGAAGATCGCCGGTTCACGCCCCGGTACCAACAACATCAAAAATGTGGGTGGGGTAGGTGAAGCACTCACGCCTGCCTCCACCCTCATTCGCCCCACTCTGGGCCCATGAGCAAGGCCCTTAACCCCCATCTTCTCCCTAAACAGGTCTCTCTTGAAAATGAGTTCTCGTGGCTCAATGAGCCCACCTGGATAAATAAAGAGTAACTGAAAAAAAAAAAATTAGAGCTGTCATTTCTAACCTGAACCCGAAACCCGTCCTGACCCGGATGAGGGCCGGTCCGGGCCGTTATAATGTGATTAATGTGCTGGCCGGTCTCTGGCTTTGATGCGGTTTTACGAGTCATACAGAACAAATAAAAGAATGCATGATATAAAATGTGTTACTCTACTTGTAGAGGAGGAGGCAGGAAGTTTATATGTTAAGAGTGCAGCAGTTAGTCAGACTGTGGAAGACATCACTGGCATTGTGCAATAATTGTGCACGTGGGCTCAGGCTTCTGCAGTTTTACGAATTAAAAAGCACAAAGAAAACTAAATGCACAATATAAAATAGTGTTAATCTACTTGTAGAGGAGGAGGCAGGTCCGAGCGGCCGGTTTAAAGAGGTTGTGTTAAGCTCAGATGGACGCCACTGGCTGCGCGCGTTGGATGTATTGATTGATCAGCTGATCGACGGCTGCGCGCGTCTCCGCAGTCATCTGCAGTGAAGGAGTAGCAGAATCTACAAAAGCCGAAGCGAGCTCCATGTTCAATTAAAATAACCTTGTTCTGCATTTTTCCAAATAAATTTGATCTAAAAATATTTTTGTTCATCTGTATAACAGCCGATCTTTAGAGTTAATTTTTTAGGCTATTTGTTTTGAACGTTAATATCCATTTTGGTGACTTGTTAAAGAAATAAATATTATATCTTCCTTTCATTACGTTTTTAAAATATCATGTCAAACTGATTTGCTTACAAAAGCAGTAAAAGCTTAATTTAAAAAAAGTGGGTTTTTTGGGTCGGCCCTCTAATGACCTGTAATCCGTTGGGTCCGGGAAGGGCTCGAGGAAAAAAACTACGGGCTCGGTCCAGACCGGATTTATTAGGCCTGAATGCAACTCTACTGTCAATCTTTAGTTAGCTTCTGATTTAGCTA